TATATATATATATATATACATATATACATATATACATATATACATATATATATATAGATATGTATAAATATATAAATATAAATATAAATATAAATATAAATATAAATATAAATATGAATATAAATATAAATATAAATATAAATATAAATATAAATATAAATATAAATATAAATAAATAAATAAATATATATATATATATATATAGTACTTAAGAGGTCCTGGCATTCCCCAGACTTGGACTCTGAACTCTGATGGCCCTCAGAAGCCTCAACGCCCCAAAACTTAGGGAGCCCTAAACCCTAAACCCCTAAACCCCTAAACCCCTAAACCCCTAAACCCTAAACCCCCAAGCCCTGAGGTCTGAGCTCCTGGGTTTTCCGAGGTTCGGCCCTAGTGGCTAACGGACCAGACGCTGGAGACGCGGTTTGGCAAGGCGCATCGCCGGGATTTCGGCATCTGGGGTTTGTGGTTTGTACGGTCTGGGCTGCTGAAATCTCGTGCTTAGGGTTCAGGGTGTAGGGTTTAGGGTGCTGAGGTTCGCGATTGGATATTTGTGCTTCACACATGTTTCTGTGTGGCTCCAGGTGTTGCTGACATATGCAAGGGTTGCACGGTGCACGTTTTCGGGGAGGTTTTGGACCTCAGGACACGAGGGCATCAAATTGTCACGTGACGCAAGTTGTTGCCTCGGGTTTTGCAGTGCGGCCGGCGTTCGGCATTCCGGCCGTTACGATTTACTGACAGGCCCGTCAGGTCTTAAGAACCCTGGTGGTAAGATCTGCATTGATCCTCTTTGGCAGCCTTTCAGAGCTTGGAAACCTTCGACCACAAACCCAAAAAGCCAACAGCCTTGTACACTCCCATAGCCTCAAGCCACAGAGGCCCTTACAGCCGCAGGCAAAGCCCTGTGCCTTACGTACCTGTGGAGCTCCTGCCTACCTCTTCAAAGCAAGTCTCATCCCCCCGACCTGAATCACATACGACCGTTTATACTCATTCCATGCTAACCCGATTTCAACCCTCAGTAGTTGTAACGAAACCTGCCTTCACCGCCCTATGAATCACTAGTTGGCCGTATGCCAACTCTGTAGTAGCCCTGAACTCCCCTCTCCCCGCCCTTCCCCTACCTTAAACCCCAGACCCCAAGACCCTCAAGCCCTCAACCCTAAATCCTAACCTCTAAACCCTTATACCCTACAAGCCCCAAACCCTAAAACCCTCTTCCCTTAACCCTAAACTCAGCCACTCTCTTGCTAGGCCGGAACTTGGATTGGGACCTCGATGCATCGCTGCTCGAGCGCTCCGGCAGCAGGAAGTCGGTAGCAGGGCAGGTCCGTAAGTTTTGTTGTTGTTTCCTGGTTCTGGGTTCAGAATTTAAGGTTGGGGGTGTAAGATTTTAGGGTTCAGGGTTTGGGGTCTAGGAGTAGGGTTTAGAGGTTTGAGGTTTCAGGGTCTAGGATTTTAAGCTCCGTCTTTCTCGGTGCTATGGAGAGGCGTCAGACCTCGACCGGTCTCAACACTGAATGTCATGACATTGGGTGGGGCGGGGTGGAGTTTGGTTTGGAGCATGGTCATGGGGCCTGGGATTCAGGCCCAGAGACTCCAATACCCCTTAATTAAGGAATATACCTTAAATCATATTAGGGATCCTACATTAAGGGATATTGGAGTCTCTGGGGGGATGTGATGCTTCGGCTCAGGGTTTAGGGCTTTCAGGTACGTGGTGGAGGTGGACTACCAGCGCGGTGGCAAGACGGCCTTCACAGGAGTGCAGGCCATGTGAAAGCTTAGGAGCCGGCGATGATTTTAGAGGCTTGAATACTCAATCAGGAATCCTCTTCCTTTAGGGTTCTATCGTATCGAGATCTCGAGAACCCTCCCAATCATTCCGGAGCTGTGTATAACGCCCTCAAAGAGAACCCCCAGACCACAAGCCCCAAGTCCCAAGAGACCCGACCCCTGCACCGCTCCTGCCAAAAGGATCCTCAGTACCTACGTAGTCTGATGCAGGATTTCTGCACAAGGGTTTTCTATTGATGATTGTTACGTATCCCTGAGACACGGTAGTGTCTCCTCCAACCCCAAAGGCAAGCAGCAACAGAGTCCAGCGCCACCGGGTTCGGAACCTGAAGAATTCGGAAGAGCCCTGTAGCATCCTCATTGCTTCCAGCGCGTGAAGGTTGCTGGCATGATCGGGATCCTTCATGGCGTGTATGGGGGCAAGTTCTCCGCTCCTTGAAGCTTCAATGGAAGAATCGGGTCTGGGGTTTAGGGTTTCTGACGGGCGGCAAAGCCTGTTCGAGCCAAGGAAGAACAGACTTCCTTTCAGTCCATTTCGCCGTCTAGGAGGGTTGAGGACTTATAAGCTTCTAGATCCCATGAAACCTGAAACCCGAAACCCCACAACCTGCCCTAAACCCTGACCTAAACCCTAAACTCATCGACCCTAAACCGAAGAGCCTAATCCGATATGGGGTTCCACTCTGTTTTTGACCACCTTGCGGCTCCCAGGTTCAGCTCAACGCGCGGGATCGGGGTGGCAGCGTCATCGAGAATCTCCTGGAGGAGGGAGAGGGGGGTTTAGGGTTTAGGGGTTTAGGGTTTAGGGTTTCGAGAGGTTCTGAGGTCTTGGGTTGTTGAGGGTTGACGGTTGAGGGCTCAGGCTTAGGGCGACGGGGTTAGGGTTTGGCCTGGCAGTAGATTCGGTGACCTTTAACCTTTTTGCGACCGTATAACACGCTTGTTATCCCGAAGGTTAACCTGTAGAACTTAGCTTGAGCCGTTGAATAACCCATGATCTACGCATGGTGCCTTAAAGCTGAGCTAACAGGGAAGCATGATTCAGGTTCTGCAGGTTCTGGCTTCGCTGCCTTGAAGGCAAGTCAGCGACATCCTGGACCCGAAATCCAGGAACCCTAAACCCTTAACCCTAAAACCACCCTAAATCCAGGATCCTGAACCCTCGATCAGACCCCGAGCGGGAGACTGAGACTCCTTTGAACTCGGGATACTCACACTCCTTGAAGGAGATACTTCTTGGTGGCAAGACTCCGACACATGTCATGCGCAAGGCCATGGAGACTGCAAAGGACTCGGGTTTTTCCTTCCAAGCCTTGGGGGGGTGAAAGGGGCATTTGTTGGTTCACGGGCTTGCGCGCCTTTCATGTCATATCACCGCTTTGAGCTTGACCGGCTGTGCTTAAGTCTATCTCCGTCCGTATCGTACACCTCGTTCTAGCCCGGGACTCGCCACTAAATTCATGCGCGTGTTTCAAGCTACACGAAGAAAAGGGAAGCTGACGCCTGCTGCCGCCTGCTTCTGCTTCCCCCAATTCCCTCAGGCTTCCTTCTGAAAGGTTTTTGGGGGTTGGGGCTTCGCGCTTTAGGGTTTAGGGTTTATCACAAAGACGTCCAGTTGCTCATAGAATAGCTTGTCCTCTTTTGAGCCTTACTGGCAAATCGCCTGGTTTAGCAGCCGATTGCAGAGGAAACTGAGCTTTCGAGGACCCTTACCGTTGGTAACGGAACCCCTCAACCTTTGTGGATTCTGGCTTCGGAGCGTCTCGGGGCGTTAGATGTAGGGTTTATAGGTTTGGGGCTGAGAGCTGGGAGGGCCGCGGGTAGGGCGTCCGACGGGCTGGGAAGGGTCTGGCGGGTGCGGGAGGTTTAGGATGTTGCTAGATTGCTGACTGAACTTAACGGCATTCTAAACGCCGACCATGGCAATCCTTGTGTGCTCACAGCCCAGAGGACTTCGACCACTTCGAGCATCTTGCATGCAACTGGCTAAGGGTCTTCAACCGGTCGGGTTCACGTTCTTTGCATGGCTTCTGGATTCGTTGACCGCGTGTGAGAGTGGTTCCTGTTTTGGGGTTTAGGTTCAGGAGAGTTTCGGGAGTCAGAGGTTTTTTGGCTCAGGATTCGGTTTTTGGACCGGCGCTCAAGGAGTGTAGAATCATCGTGGTCGGGTTTTCAGCACCCAGTGCCGTGCCAGAAATCTCCAAGACTCTGCCAGCCCCCAGGGCTTGAACCAGTTGGCAGAGATTTGAGTTTGGGGCCTTAGGGGCTTTGGGGTTAGGCGTTCTGCGCTCAGGGGCCCAATGTAGTAAATCCCTGCAGGCCCACCGTTGTACGCGTCTTGGGTGTAAGGTGAAGGCTCTACCAGTCGGAGGTGCAGAGGGAGATATTTCGAGCTTCTGGTTTCCACCCTCAGGCTCTTCCTGCTGTCAGAGCGCTTGGCGAACCCTGCCTACTTCATCGTTGCGGGTGCGCAGCATGGTCAGGCGGATGCAGAACTTCGTTTGAACCAGAAGTACACAAAAACATGCCTAAAAACAAGACTTCAGTCTAAAGCCCAAGGCGCAGGTTGTTGCGGGGCGCCGTCCTGATTTATAGCATCTCACTCAGTGTCTTCGTACCAATGCTGGCGAAGCTTCGGGCTCTAGAGGTGACCTACGTAGCTACAACGGTAAAAACCCCTGTAATACTGTTGATGGACAAAATTCTGCATGACCCAAGTATAGTATAGTACCATATTTCTCATAGTTTATGTATATAAGGTCATGCAGGATTTTGTCCATCAACAGTATGCCCTATAAGCCCTAAGCCCTAGAGCCCGCAACCCCTGGAACCCTTAGAGCAGGGATCCGGATCGGTTCGTTCGAGGGTCAAGAAGCTATACCTTAACCTACCAAAACCTACTTTTTTGTAGGGTCCCTATCAATTCCACATTAGGGTGTATAATAAAAACCTACAAGAAAGTAGGTTTTGGCAGTTGAAGCTAGCTTCTTGATGAGCGCTTTGGCTGTGGACTCTGCTTCGGGTTTAGAGGTTACGGGCTACATAGGCTAATAGGGCTTCAGGAGTCACCTGCACTAGTCGCACCAAAGAGGAATGTGATGCAGCCTGCAAGCCAGCAATCTGAAAATCTCGAGCCCCAAGTTGGGAATCCAGGACCCCTAAACTCTAAACCCGCTATAGCTGTTGCTGGCCCTAGATGAGACGGGCCCCCAATACAGACCGTGAGTAGTAGGATCCAAACGCGTTGAGAAAAGACCGAGATGCACCATTCCTGGGCTGTAGCAGCTCTCTTGATGTTGTGTCACTCCACTTCCCTCAGCATCAAAAAAAGTGGGAGGCCCTATAAAAAGCAACCTGGAGGCAGAGTGAGAGCAGCGAAGGAGCTCTTGTGAATTTACATGTTGCAAGATGAAGGGCGTCGAGGATGAACGTTCAGATGCCAGGATCCCCCCCCCAAGCCCCGGATAAGGCCATCCATAAAGATTCCTTTTCGCACCTCTATAGAGGGACTTGGAAACCCCCTAACCCTAAACCCTAAACCCTAAACCCCTAAACCCTAAACCCTAAGCCCCTAAACCCTAAACCCTAACCGTGCTTCTAGGCGTTGGGAAAGCCGGCTGACAGAGCCGCGGAGAGCAGGGAAAATCCTCAAATCCTAGCAGCCCGAGACCTTCCCCAGGGGCCTTGAACTAGGGTTTAGGGGTTTGGGGTT